CCTGGGACGGAACCGCGATCCCAGAAACCTAAGTACAGGGATACAACGGTGATAATTTAAGAATTAACCAAGGATAACACCAGTTAATTTAGATGCATTTCCAAGGCTCTCCTCATCGCCTTCCCAGAAGAGGGACTTTCAGATCCGTTACCCACACCAGGTGAGTAACTGCTGGAGGATGCGGGTCTGAGTCACTCTGCATGAGGGATCATGCCGTAACTATAACGCAATAATATGGGTATAAAGCATTGAAATTGGCCTACTGGCCGATACTAGGCAAATACTATTATATTACTAATAGTACACAATACTGACAAGTTGATAAATAACGTCTGCAATACTTGGGTATCTTTATGGGTAAAATGTTTCACCTGTGTAGCAGGCTGCCTCAGTCTAATCCAGGCGAATTTAACACTAGAGACGGTATTAGTAATTTTGAGGTGGTCACTTTCTCAGCCTAAAGCAGAGGCATGCGGCCAGACCTTGCATACTGAAGCAGAGGTACAGTTTAACAGCCGTGGTTTCTTCCACATGTGAAAAAATGGGAAAAGTCGGAGGAAAAATACGAGAGGTATATGGGGGTGATAGAGAAGTGTGTGTTCGAAATATTAACCTTTGAGGGTTAATAACCCAGGACAACCTATAAAAACCAATGTGGTTTATTTTAATTAGGCTCTTTGGATCTTAACCAGGATGATACCTATAATTTTTACTATATATCTATTTACTGCTGGGTAAACAAAGGTAGATATCAGGATTCTCGCATATACTGTACATCTCTCTAATCCAAAGAATGAACCCAGGTCTCTGCCACTGAACTAAGAGCTGTTAAACCTCCACCATATTTTCTATTTACACCTCTCTTTTAAAAGTTTCAGTGAAACGCTCGAGTGCGGGCCATCAGCACCAACAACCTAGCTGACAAGGCTAGCAACAGACGAGCCTGGCCCATGGCAGTCTCCGGGAATTGAAAGATTCTCGAAACTCACCAAAAGTAAAGGTATATCGAAGGAGAAAAAAATGTCAATGTAGGGTGTACACGCGAAGCGAGGGGTAGTGAGTAAACTATCTGGGAGGGAGTGTTGGCTGCCTCAACAGGTAGCATGGTTCAGCGGTCTCTAGCACGAAAACTCAGCTCTGACTCAACAGGATACACGTACACAACTAACACGCCACCAGGTTGCGACGGATAATTGTCTGCAGATAGATTGTCTAGACTGAATATGATAGTCTTATTTTGCGTATAACAAAAACTTACGAACTGTAGCTCATTGGTAGAGTACTCAACCAAAAAATGAGGGTTCGATTCCCGGGTAGGATCAGTAAGCAAATTTCTACACTTACTGCCCCTGGGAGTTAGTATGTTGATACGAGTAGCTTTCTGGGAGAAGAACCAAACCGAAAAAATATTTGGTTCTACCTGAGTTATTACACTTGGTTAGCCAAAACAAATGCCAGTGATCGGTCAGGTGGCCAGATATTTTCCCTACTGGCAAAGGGCCTTCCTCTCATGCATAAATTTTGTAAAACTACTTCCAAGCATTAACTTCACATGACCTAAAATAAACTTTAATATTGATATGATGAAAATGGTATATAATGCAGACAAATTTTTAAGCAAGACATGTGCAAGAGTTAGGTATCCCTATCGTTGACAAACGTTTCGCCCACACAGTAGGATGCCCCTGTATTTGACTGAAGAAACCTACTGTGTAGGCAAAATGCTTCAGTCAAAGACAAAGATATCCAATTGTTGCAGGCGTCTTACACTAATAGTGACAGTGCATGGTTTCCGTTTGACATAAGTGAATTGAATACTAACTTTACCGGATACCCTAAGGACGTAAGTGTGTTTTAGTTTGCTGCTAAAGCTGAGATTATGCAGCAAATGGTTGAAGATCAGGAGTGTAAAGCAATCAGCCTGATCACATCGACTCCAGGATGAGGGACTGGTTACCTCAAACTAATCCTGATCTTCATCCAGTCTTATCTGTACTGGACTGGACTGAGGATGCCACTGGTCGGCGAAACGTTTCTACAATAAAGATAACCAAGTGTTGCAAAAGTGTCTAGTTAGTCAACCTGTCGATTTTCTGAACCAGTTATCTACACTAGAACATTAATAAAAGCTTCATTCCCAAAAGCTTCGTGAATACAGAGGAGCATGGAGCTTTATATAGCTCCTCTTCTACAGAGGAGCATGATTAGTTACAAGTCACGTGCGGGATGTGCTGGTCAGGTCACCTGAGCGCCAGTCTTGCCAGGGTAGCACATGGTTGAACAGCACCCCTGAAATATTTTAACTGCATGATTTCTTGATTACAGTTAAGACTCTGCAATCAACACAGCCTCAAGGCAGCTTCTTGTTGTCCCGGCTACAGGCGTATCGATGTTCTTAGAGGCGGAGTCAGACTTCTTGCCGTCTCTTCCACATATTTTCTCACAAATCACACGGCATAACGAAGACTCCCGTGTTGGTGTCTATGGGTGTGGTGGTGACCACCTTCCTAACGAGAGCACTCGCCACATTAGTTACGTCCCCACATGGAAGGACAATGTACAATTTAGTGGGACTATCAGAAATTATGATGTTTTGTGCTCCCCTGCAGTCACTGGTAAAATGGAATGAGAAATGTAGATAACTGAAGAGGATATAAGCGCAATCCACTGAGAAATGCGCGCCTGGAGATCGTGTATGCTTAGGAACCCAGATATGGTCCTGGTCTTACTCCAGCAAGACTGCTGTTAACTGATAAGATTAAAGTTGGAAAATTTTAGAAAGGATATGGGGGAAATAGGAAATTGTATGGTGATACCGACAAGATGTGGAAAAAAGACACTTATGTACAGTTCAGGACATTTATTAAAGGAAACGTTTCGCCACGAGTGGCTTCTTCAGTCCTAATACAGAGAAAACTAAGAAAACATTTATATATATAGTGGCAGGAGTCAGGTGAGGTGACGCGTGGGTAGAGGTGGTAGTAGTAGTAGTAGTAGTAATGGAACTAGGTAGGTGAGGCAAAATAGGGAACTGGTGTTACTTGATGCCAGCAGGTCCCTCTCTTGCCTCACCTCCTTAGTTCCATTACTACTACTACCACCTCTACCCACGCGTCACCTCACCTGACTCCTGCCACTATATATATAAATGTTTTCTTAGTTTTCTCTGTATTAGGACTGAAGAAGCCACTCGTGGCGAAACGTTTCCTTTAATAAATGTCCTGAACTGTACATAGTGTCTTTTTCCACATATGGGGGAAGTACTGGTTAGGTAATAAGACTTTTAGATGAGGGTAGAACTCTCGGGTAACGTCACTGTGGCAAGAACTTCGCGTACTTTTAATATAGGTTGGATGGGAATCAAGATACCCATGTGTTGCACAAGTGTCTCAATCTTCAACTTGTCGGTTTTAAACCATTTACACCTCTGTCTGACACTGCAAATCATGGGATTTTGATAACAAGGGAGTTCTTTACTTTGTCCAAACTTTGGACGAAGAACTGCTTCACATTTGGATTGTCAAGTGTGATACTCCTACGAACTGCTTCACCTCACCTGTCATACAATTTATAAGCCCCTTTTCGCTACATATGCTGTATTTTTTTCAAGATTGATGGACTTATTACATCGACTCAAGGCTGCTGAGGGACTGATCCCTAAACTACTCTGTTCTCAACACATTTCCTTTTTTGGTCGTATGGACTGTTGAAGCACTGTGGCGAAAACGTTTCTTCAATAAAGTTTCCCATATGGTTGCATAACGTGTTATCAATTCCGGAATTAAAGTTATTATTATTATTCACCATACCAAACCGACTCCCACTACCATGCTGAAGGACTATCGTGTCAAAGCTATTACTATGGTCTGAAGTCTTCTGAAATATGGTATGGTGATTACTGGACGACATGTGAAAAAAGACATTTGGATGTGTACCGTTCTGGACAATTAGAGTAACGTTTCACCTAGAGTGACTTTTCAATAGGGCTGAAGAAACCACTCGTGGCGAAACGTTTCCTCTGATAAAGGTCCTGAACGATCAAGTCTTTTTCACTTCTGTATTCTACTAAAAAGCCCCAACAAAACTGTTGTGCGGGGCGAAGAGTTTCGGCACAAAACTAACCAAGTGTTGCAAGTCTTATTCATCATCAAAGAAATGGATTTGTGCTCCTCTTCCTCAAGTCAAACCAGAATGACTCCCATTCCCCCCAGGTGCTATATGGCCCCAACGAGTTTAGCGCTCCACATGAATGTTAAACTATACTATTTTATATAGTAAAGCACTGGTTTTTGGGCAACTGAACTGTGGATGAATAGAACACTTTCCCGAATAGTGTCAAGAACAGAGAAGCTTAGATGGTTTTAAAATAAATGTTGGTCAGGTACGTACATGAGTGGGTGAGAGATAAACATGCCTAGCAAGGGCCAAAAGGCCTGCTTCAGTGCTCTTTTTTTTAATGTTTTTAAGGGCCATACTTTATTAAATTAATGACTACATTGCCATGGGCCTTTTTTTTTTTTTTTTTTTTCTTGACCAATGCTATTAATTTATAATGGCCTCGCACTTATTTAAAGGCAAATGTAGGAAAAGTTTACCACTTCGTTCATTGTGGGTGTGGTTAGGTCAAGATAGGTCACCTTCACTATAGTTCATAACTTGACCTCTGACCCTTCCATAACAGGTCACCATTTTCATATGGAAACAACAACAAAAAAGACTAATACACGTGTTCGCCGTTGCTGTATTTACTCCAAATACAACGTAAACAGGAAGTGCTAGCAAGAAAGCAGTAAATGTCGACAACTTATAGGGGGAAAGGATCGAGTGCCTTCACTTGCGACAACTTACAGGAAGACGTTTCCGTCCTGACTTATCACTGGCAGTGATCAAGGTCCCAGGAATGAAGTCTTCCATAAGGTGTCTTAAGCCATTACTCTTGTATCCTTTTACCAATGAACAGTTAAGTCTTCCACGTATAATAAAGTGTTCAATGCACTTACCTATTATGAGCAGTAGAATCCTAGCCATGGTGTAGGTGGTATTCCAGAGTGGTGTAACTATCACAGCACCATTATCACCAACACTTCAACAATACCTTCCTACAGGTCACCAAGGTGGTGTTTCTTGCTTCCTGATAATCACTGTTTCTTCCCTTCTTTTCCTATATTTTTGGGCAAAACCACGTCACTTACTTGGGTGCGTATAGCGGGAAGTTATCACGTACAAACTGTGTGCGATGTGCAACACACTTCACTAACATAAAGCAACAGGTGGTCCTCACAGGTTTAAAAAAAAAAAAATGAATCGAGTGTAAGCAAAAGCCACCGTGACACTGCTTGGGACACTACTGAAGACAACCCACCTCCTTCATGTCTTCCCGCCCCAACATCAACACTCACAGACTCGCACGCTAGCCACCCCAAAGTGCTTACATCTAACACCACCATCTGTTATTCTATTTAATTCTGTGTTTTTATAACAAAGGTAATACTTCAACCTTTGTTTATCAGTTTCAAGCATACAATAATAAGCAAATAAGCTTAATAAGCTGAAAAGATAACTATATAAATACGATTATGTTTATAGCGAGTCTACCAGTAGTAAGTTCCCGCCCCGTTAAAGTATGGCGGGCGAGTTGCGAGGGGGTTTGATTGGTGGAGGTGCGAGGTGGCCGACCACTTCCTGCGCTCCTCTACTACCCTTATACTTAAGAACATAAGGAACCTAAGACGAAGGAACACCTGCAGAAGGCCTACTGGCCATGCGAGGCAGGTCCAAGTCTCCTACCGGCTTAAAGCCAATGCACCCAAAACCTAGTCAGGTCAGGTCACATTGGACTTAAGGGTGGAACACCGGCATCGACCTGGTAGACAAGCTATTCAGGTCCAACTCCACCACCCACATCCACTCATGTATTTATCAACCTATTTTTTAAAGCTACACATCGTTCTGGCCTATATAACGGTACTTGGGAGTTTGTTTCCATCATCCCCAATCAACACGCCCAAGGCAGTTCTGTTGCCCCCGGCTACGGGCGGTGTTTTAAGGGGGAGTCAACTTTTTCCCTTCCTTCCCTATTTTTCACAAATCACACGGCAAAACGAAGACTCCCTTTTGGGGTTTTGTTTGGGGTGTGGGGGTGACCCCCTTCCCTAGGGAAGCATCCCCACATTTTTATTTCCCCACATGAAGGACAATGTAAAATTTTTAGTGGGCTATCAGAAATTATGATTTTTTTTGTGCCCCCCTGCAGTCGGTAAAAGGAATGAGAAATGTGAAAACTGAAGAGGATAAAGCGCAACCCACTGAAAATGCGCGCCGGGAGATCGGTATGCTTGGGAAAACCCAGATAGGGTCCTGGTTTAGGGGGGGAAGTGGGAAATGGTATGGTGATCCGACAAAGTGGAAAAAGACATTAGTACATTCAGGCATTTTTTAAAGGGAACGTTTCGCCAGAGGGTTTCTTCGTCCTAATACAGAAAAAAATAAGAAAAAATTTATATATATATGGCAGGAGTCAGGTGAGGTGCGCGTGGGAAAGGGGTGGTAGTTATAGTAGTATAATGGAAAAAGGGAGGTGAGGCAAAATAGGGAAAGGTGTTACTTGACCCACAGGCCCCTCTCTTGCCTCACCTCCTTTTATTCCATTTTTCTACTCCCCACCCTCCCCCACCGTCACCTCACCTGACTCCTGCCATTTTATTAAATTTTTTTAGTTTTCTCGTTTAGGACTGAAGAACCACTCGTGGCGAAAGTTTCCTTTATAAATGTCCTGAACTGTACATAGTGTTTTTTCCACAAGGGGGGAAGTACGGGGTTGGTAAAAAGACTTTTAGATGAGGGTAGAACTCTCTAAAGTCACTGTGTTGCACAAGTTCTCAAACTTCAATTGTCGGTTTTAAACCATTCCCCTCTGTCAGGGCACTGCAACACGGGATCTTGATAAAGGAGTTTTTTTAAATCTTGTCCAACCCTTTTGGGCGAAGACCTGCTTCCACTTTTGGGTTTGTCAAATGTGAACCTCCTACGACTGCTTCCCTCACCCCTTTTTACAATATATAAACCCCTTTTTTGCACATAGCTGTATTTTTTTTTAAGATTGAGGACTTATTTCATCGACCAAGGGTGAGGGAATGATTACCCAAACTACTCCCGTCTTTACCATTTCCTTCGTATGGATGATGAAGCCTTGGGCGAAACGTTTTTCTAAAGATTCCCATATGTTGCATAAGTGTTCAATTTCGGAAATAAAGTTATTATTATTCCCAACCCCCCGACTCATAAGAAAAAAAAAAACATAAGAACGAAGGAACACTGCAGAAGGCTACGGGCCCCATGCGGGGCGTCCAAGTCCTACCGGTTTAACCCAATGCCCCAAACCTGTCATCAGGTCACTTTGGGTTGGGGGAGGAACACGGAAACCGACGTTAGCACAAGTATCAGGTCTAACTCACACCCCCCACTCACTCATTTTTTTTTCCCAAACCTATTTTTAAAGACACAACGTTCTGGCCTCAAACGGTTTTTTGGGGAGTTTGTTCCCTCTCCAAAAACCTATTACCAAACCAGTTTTTCCTTTCCCCCCTGAATCTGAATTTTTCCAATTTAAAAACCATTCTGCGAGTCCTGTCTGGGCTAGTTTTTTCAGCCACTATTTACATCCCCTTTATTTATTCCTGTCCCCCACCTACCAAGGAAAGGACTATCGTGTCAAACTATTACTTTGTCTCGTCTTCTGAAAATTTGGTTTGGTGATATGACACATGGGGAAAAAAGCTTTGTTACCGTTCGGGGACAATTAGAGTAACTTTCCCCAGAGTGATTTTTCAATAGGGCGAAAAACATCGGGCATTTCCCGATAAAGGCCTGAACGATCAATCTTTTCCCTTCTGTATTTACAAAACCCCCAAAAAAACTGTTGTGGGGCGAAGATTTTGGGCACAAAAAACCCAAGTTTTGCAAGTCTTTTTCACATAAAGAAAGGGGTTTTTTTCTCCCCTTTCCCAAGTCAAACCAGAATGACCCCATTCCCCCCCCCGGTTTATATGGCCCCCAAAATTTTTTGGCCCACTGAATGTAAAAATATACTATTTTATATAGTAAAGCACTGGTTTTTTGGGGAACTGAATGTGGGTGAAAGAACACTTTCCCGAATAGTGTCAAAACAAAAACTTAAATGGTTTTTTAAAAAAAATGTTGGTCGGTACGTACATGAGTGGGGTAGAGATAAACATGCCCGAAGGCCAAAAGGGCCTGCTTTTTGCTCTTTTTTTTAATGTTTTTAAGGGCCCTACTTTATTAAATTAATGATACATTGCCATGGGCCTTTTTTTTTTTTTTTTTTTTTGACCCAAAGCTATTAATTTATAATGGCCTCGCATTATTTAAAAGGGAAATGTAGGAAAATTTACCCCTTCGTTTATTGTGGGTGTGGTTAGGTCAAAAAGGTCACCTTCCTATGTTCATAACTTGACCCCTGACCCTTCCCAAAAAGGTACCCTTTTTTTATTGGAAAACAAACAACAAAAAAGACTAACCCGTGTTCGCCCTTGTGTATTACTCCAAAACAACGTAAACAGAAAAAGCTAGCAAAAAGCAGTAAATGTCGCAACTTTAGGGGGAAAAGGGTCGAGTGCCTTTACTTGCGAAATTACGGAAGACGTTTTCCGTCCCGACTTTCACTGGCATGATAAGGTCCCAGGGAAAAAGTCTTCCTAAGGGGTCTAAGCCCTTATTTATCCTTTTACCAAAGAAAGTTAAGTCTTCCACGTTAATAAAGTGTTCAATGCACTTACCATTTGAGAGTAGAAACCCCAGCCTGGTGTGGTGGTATTCCAGGTGGTGTAACTTCACAGCACCCTTTTCACCAAAACTTTAAAAAAATACTTCCACAGGGCACCCAAAGGGGTGTTTCTTTCTTCCCGTATCACTGTTTCTTCCTTCTTTTCCTATATTTTGGGCAAAAAACCCCGTCACTTACTTGGGTGCGTATAGCGGGGAAATTATCACTTTACAAACTGTGTGCGATGTGCAACACATTCCCACTAATATATGCAGCAACAAGGGGTCCTCACAGGTTTAAAAAAAAATGAACATGTAAGCAAATTTTCCACCTGACCCCTGCCTTTGGGACATTTGAAAGAACCCAAACCAACCTCCTTTTTTCTTCCGCCCCATTCAACAGTTCACAGGACTCGCGATTCGCTTTGGTCAGCCCAAAGTCTTACATCTATAGTACACATTGTTTATTCCCATTTAATTCTGTGTTTTTGTAAAAAAAGGAATATCTTCAACTTTCCTTATCACTTTCAAGCTACCAGATTTGAAGTGGGCCCAAATTCGGCTTATTTAACCTGAAAGAAACTTTTATTATTTAATTAACATAACTTTTTTTTTAACCGATTCTTTACTGTAGTTTTAAGTCCCCCCCTCTAAAGTTTGCCATATATGCTTCTTTGACAAGCGAGGTGGCAAACTATTTATCCTTTTGGCTGTTTACTACCCTATTAACTTTGTGAAGATGAACCTTATTGCACTCTCTACTACCTTATACTTACAAGATATACCTTACTGCACTCTCTACTACCTTATACTTGTAAGACATAGCTACTGTTTTCTTACTGCACTTGCAAGATGTGAACATTAAAATGGTATAAAATACAGACAGGTTGTTAGGTAAGACACATATGCAACAGTTAGGCATCTTTATTTCGAAACGTTTCGCCTACACACCCCTCATGGAAGGTTCCTTGATGTTGGTGAGGGGCTCTTGATTTAGGGAATTGGATCTGTGCTCCAGTTCCCCGAATTAAGCCTGAATGCCTTCCACATCCCCCCCCCCGGGCGCTGTATAATCCTATGGGTTTAGCGCTTCCCCTTTGATTATAATAATAATAATTCGCCTACACAGTAGGCTTCTTCAGTCGAGTACAGAAAAGTTGATAGAAGCAGAAGATACTTGAAGACGATGTAATCAGTCCATCACCCTTAAAGTTTTGAGGTGGTCAGTCCCTCAGTCTGGAGAAGAGCATTGTTCCATAGTATGAAACAATATGGAGATGAAGTGACAGGATGGAGCCTTATATAGCGCCAGGAGGTGAGACGTAGGTCACTAGAAGAGGTAAGAACGCAGATGTTGGGAGGTCAGGTCCCTCTCAAATCCAGCCGTTCTCACTAGTAGAGGTTGTCGAAGTTGATTGCAGGTCTGTACCAAGATACCCTTGTGTTGCAGTGTCTGACAGATTGAACATTAAAATGGTATTAAATACCGACAGGTTGTTAGGTAAGACACATATGCAACAGTTAGGCATCTTTATTTCGAAACGTTTCGCCTACACAGTAGGCTTCTTCAGTCGAGTAC